TTTCCCTCGTGGTTAAGTTTTATCTGAAATTGTGTTTTCAGAGCCCTAGATGCCCTCTTCTACTTCCTGTTGGTGTGGTACTACTGCACGCTCACCATCCGGGAGAGCGTCCTCATCAGCAACGGCTCGAGGTCGGCAACAAATTAAACCGTGTCCACTTTTTTTAATACAATGACGCATGATAGTCTGTTCCGTTTCCTGGGACCTTGACGTTTAGAGATGAACCCTTTGAACCCTGAATGAGTTTCTCTTTGTGGATTTATCAGCAGTATCCTCTTTAGGATGATCAGTGTGATGAATTAAAATAGTTATGATGTTCTCTAGACCCAGCCTGTGTCTTCTTACATTATGAACTTTCCTTTTGGTTTACAGTAGGGCTGTCAGCATTAACTAGTTAATCACATGCTATTTGTCCCTTTAGTTGCAGATACGCCCCCTCATGACTTCAGATATTTCACTTTTTTTTTCAGCTCATTTGAAATGTTTTGATTTATCTTTAGATCCGTAACAAGTTCTTCTGTCCGTGGTTAAGTTTATGTTGTAGCCTTCGATCTACAAGAAGGTCCTTACTTTATTTCAAAATAAAAGCAGGGTTGAATTCAAACAGCAAGAAAGTACTCTCAGCTTAAGACAGTACAGAAATTCAAAATAAAAGCCAAATCTTTTTTATTTTTAAATGTGAAATAATGGATGTGAATGTGAAACTATTACATCAAAAAATGTAATAGTTCGAGAGCCTTACTTTACAGTACTACAACATACTAGGGTTGTCACCATGCCAGATCTCATCTCATTACAACATTTCTAGTAAAAACGAAATGATAGTGATACCAAATACAAGTCCTAGACACCCGGGTACCTAAACGTTGATGAAGATCTGAAGATTTTTCTTAAACCTTTGTACGTTTTGATCCCATTGGTCATTAAATTAACTGATACTTTGTCATTTTAAAACAAGTATCAAAGTATGGAAACTTTTACAAGCTTATAACAAACAGTGCAGTCCTGTATCCTTCAGTGTCCGTCCTCCATGTTGTTTCAGGATCCGAGGTTGGTGGGTCTTTCATCATTATGTGTCCACCTTTCTGTCTGGAGTCATACTCACCTGGTGAGTCATGTTTTTTTTTTTTAATCTTGTTTGGTTGTTTCCATGGGAACACGTTGACATTTTTCTTCATAATAGTTTGTGTTTAGTTGTGTTTGTGCTCCATTCTAACCAGCGGATCTCTTTGTTTTCAGGCCTGAAGGGGTTCTCTATCAGATGTTTAGGAACCAGTTCATATCATACTGTCTCTACCAAAGTAAGAGAGCGGTGTCCTAAGTGTCCCTGTTTGATATATACACACTATAATCAGCACAGTGTACTCTTCAGGCCAGCTTTCCCCAGTGTTTTTGGCCTTCTTATCACAGAGTTTCACAATAGGTTGGACATAAAAATGCTTCTGAACTTTACTGTATAAAAACATAAAAAAAAAAAAAAAAAACATGCTCCTCATTACTTCTGAACAAGAGATGTGGAGGAATAGAAGAAACAAGGATAACCCTAACCCTAACCCTAGGTCCAAACTGTCTTTACTTATTAATGATGGTTCCTTATGTTCATGAAAAAATAAACCCTGAAAATGTAAAACAATATCGGGAAGTGTCAATAGGCTCACACAGAAAGTCCAGGAAGCTCTTGCAGGTTTCATATTTGGAACGACACATGATCCTGTAAATGAATTAGTCTTCTTTCAAACACTCAACATAAAGTGTGATGTCTGGGCCGATTATTAACGTCTTCTTGTGTTTATTTTTCTCTGTTCTGTTTGTTAAGGCTTCGTCCAGTTTCTCCAGTACTACTACCAGAGTGGCAGCTTGTACCGACTCAGAGCGCTCGGAGAAAGGCATAACATGGACCTTACAGTCGGTGAGTACAGTTGAAGCTGAAGCTGCCGTCAACCACATTTTAAATTCCGAATTAGGAGACTCTGACATAATGGGCCTGTGTCCACTAATGCCTTTTTTTCTTGGCAGTTCTTATTTTCCATATGAAACCAATGCAGTTAAGCGTTTTCAGCGCTCAGCGTCTTAAATGTTAACTTACCCTCTGTGCCAGCTTTTTTCTTCAAAAGCTCAAGTTCAGCTTTTGGAACATTGCCACACTCATTAATGTCACTTCTCCACCGTATCAACAACAATGCCAGAGGGGGAAACGTATCCCTTTCCTTACACAGTTCATCCCATGTGCCCAAACTCATTTTTCCAATACATTGTCCAGGTCTGCTGCTAATTTCAGGACATGATTCTTTTACATTGTTTGTATGTTTACTTTGTAAAAACTCTCATAACTGGTAAATGTCAGTGACTCTCTGGTCTCCTCTCCTGGTGTTCAGAAGGTTTCCAGTCCTGGATGTGGAGAGGCTTGACCTTCCTTCTACCTTTCTTGTTCTTTGGTCACGTGAGTAGCCTTTCCCATCACTCAGCTCGCTGCTAACTTCACTGTAGAGCACAAACATTAAGGGTTTGAATCAAAAACAAAATGATTGATTGATTAGTCAAGGATCAAGGTAAACTTTATTATCCCAGAGGAGCAATTTGATTTACAACCAGCAGGGAATAAAACAAGAAAAAGAGTCGCATAGACTGAAATACACACTTCAGCCCCGTTTCCACCAAGCAGTCGGGTTTGGTTCAGTACAGGTTGAACCTGAACTTGTTTGCGTACCCTTCTTTGGTTATCAGAGTGTAAGCCGGATGGAGATCGCCTCGTCAGCTATGTAATAGTGTGACATCATAGCAGCCCAACACAGTTTAGCCAGCTATTAATGAAGTCAAACATTCAAGAAGAACAGGGACACAGTAAACAAGGCACCCTATAGGTTCAGATCGGTACCCTTGGCACCCCAACAGAAGGGTACCAAAAAAGTAGGACGGTACGGATCCCTTATTTTGATACCATTCCCAACTTTTGACGGTGGAAACGACAATAAATGGGTACCATACCGTACCGAACTGAACCGGACCGCTTGGTGGAAACGGGGCTTTAAAGTGAGTTTTAACCCTCATGCATCACCATAGACATTTTTGTCCATTTGGTCAAATGTTTCCTCTTTATCTGGCCATCATTTTGTCTGTGTTAGTGCATATGGCACACATTTTTTTAAGAAAGTCTCGCTCTTGACACATTTTGGAATGCAAATTTTTTTTTTTTTAATAGATCAATAGAACACTGTGAAACATTTTTACTACCCTCTTAAGTCATTAAGGACAAAAATGTCCACTTCCAAAAAACTGCTATAAAAATAGAATAGATTCATATTTTGTTCTACTTTTTTTTTTGCATAAATCTCTTAAACAACTCCAGCCCTTCTCAAAACTATCAAATATTGAATAATTATCAGGAATTTAACCCTTTAAATGCCAGTTTGAGTCCATGATTCTGATTTAAAGGGTTAAATTCCTGGTAATTATTCAATATTTGATCATTTTGAGCAGGGCTGGAGTTGTTTAAGAGATTTATGCAAAAAAAAGTAGAAAAAAATATGAATCTGTTCTATTTTTATAGCAGTTTTTTGAAAGAGGACATTTTTGTCCTTAGTGACTTAAGAGGGTAGTAAATTAAACTGATGCTTAAAGCATTCCTGATTGTTTACTGTTACTCCTCTTACAGTTCTGGCAGTTCTACAACGGCATCACACTCTTCAAGATGTCTCAGCTCCCGCAGTGCAAAGAGTGGCAGGTTTGTTCACGAGGGAAACTGAAAAGTCTTGTTGTTTTGTAATCTTATTCTCTCTTCATGTTCGACAAGTTTCAAAGAGCCTCTGACTCAGAATATCTTTCATGCTGTGGTTTAGGTTATGATGTGCGGCTGCGCTTACATGGTGCTCTTCCTGGGGAACTTCTTCACCACACTGGGAGTCGTTTACCAGAAATACATGAACAATCAGGACAAGCCCAAGAGTTTATAGGACTGAGACGACCAACTGAGCTGAATCACCAAATATCATGGAAAACCACCACAGCTCTAATATTCTCATTCAGGCACTTTATAATGTCCTTAAAGACTTTTTACATGTACCGCCCCTTTTATCAATGTCCTTATAAATTCAGTGAGTGTGTGTAAATGATTTCTAAAGCGATATGTCAAAATGTGCTGTCACTCCAAACAACCAGGTACCTCGTATGCCGGTCTTACTGTGCAGCTCTGTCAGGTTTCTGTAAAGAACCCAATATTATAGACAGTGTTACTGAATATGCATCATATTTATTGAGGGAAATCTACAATCTGTTACTGAGCTGCTTCTTTTTAAGCCGTACAGAAAGTTATTTTATGAAACACTCCTCCACTGCTTTATGTTTACACTCTTTCCCCTCAAAGACTTCCCAGATCATTTCGTTTAAATTCAACGTGAGACCCCAAAGTCGAGAGATATGTGAGTGTTTTACATCAAAAAAAGGGGAAATTTAAAAAAAAAAGCCACACAAATGTTGTCATATTTTGTGTTCTTCTTTCCCACTGCTTTATCGTCGGCTCTATCAGAGCTCGTGTCTGAACTAATAATGGAAAGTGATTGCATCTGTTTTGAAAATGAGACTTTTAAACCAGAGCATGTGTTTGTTTCAATCAGTTTGTGTTTATGAATTTGTCTGCTTTTTATATGTTGTTTTTTTTCCTCTTCTATCTTTTATTGTATTGCTGCGGGGCACATCTGTGGGTCTCAGTGGGTTCTCCCTGCTAAAATAAAGGATCAATAAAATCTCAGCTGCACAGATTTTTATTTGGACCCTTTGAGAAACCCTGAAAAAGTGGAGAACTTCTGAACTAAGGTACCAAATTGTATTTTTTTTTAAAAAGTTCAAACTAGTTAAAAAACTTCTTAATAAAGTGTTTACTTCTTTTAAATACTGGTTATGGTATAACTCTGTTAACTCATTCAGAGATATTCAGTCTAACACATATTTTCCTTATTATATATTATTAATTCATATTATTGTAACTTCACTTACCTTACTTTAACCTACTATGAAAGAGCTTCTCTAATACGTATATGTGGTCAGGACAGTTTTAAAGGTCTGACTCAAGCAGTTTGAAGCCTGTTTACAGGAAAGTAGATGTTTATATGAGCATTGAAATATTCCCTTTGCTTTATCATCCAATTAGTTTTTAACTTTTGCTAAAATGTTGCTAAGTGCTACGCTCATGATGGATTAACTCTGGGTCTTCTTTGTTATATAGTAATGGCAGGCAACTGCTTGGGGCCCCTGAAGGCTCACAAACTTTAAACCACAGCAGCCGCCCCAAATGACGGTAGGTAGGAAACCTCCCAAAGGGGGCCCCACTTGAAAGCACTCTCTCTTGTTGCCTTGCTAAGCGATGAATGCATTATTGCTATGACAATGGCTGTTATCTGACACACCTTACTTTAAAATTAGGACAAAATCTACTTCTAACTAGACGCATTACTGCAATATAACAAATTGACCACAAGGGGGCGGCATTGAACTGTTATTGCAAAACTGGTCCTGCTGTGTAAATGTTTCTTCAATTTTTTTTTTTTTTTTTTTATTGAAGTCTTGTTCTGCACACACATTAGGAATCATTTTCCCAGATAGATAAACATTTCTGTGAGGTGATTACACCCCGTCACCTGGTGCTGCAGGATGAACGGGAAAGTGTTGCTCTGCAGTGAATATTGTTCACATGACATCTTGCTCAACCTTCATTTTAACTGAGTGAGTTTTTCTCATCCCTTCAGAATAAAATGATCATTGTTGTAGCTGAAACAAGACAAATATTAGAATTGAGAGACCTTCAGTTGGATGCCAGCTATAGCAGATAAAAGTTATTTATTATTTATTACAGAAAGCAGAAAAAAACCCAACTGTGAACTTTTTAAGGAGTAAAACAACCTTCAAAGTATTTTCTCTGCCCTGATACTCCCTCATGGTACACTAGCATGAGAATTTAAACAAAAATGGGCTTTTCCGAAATCCTGAACATTTTCTGTAGTGCATCAAATGTGTTTTAATCCACCTCGGACAGAATCCCAAATTCACCATTGGTTCCTGTTTGAATAGTAATGGTTATAAAACAAAGGGTGCCAGGTGATAAAGAAATGATTCAGCCTGATCTAAATCAAAACTCCACATTTGTCGGCCGTTTGTAAAGATTTCTGTCTTTATCAGAATGAATGAGCTGTGTGGGTTGTGTGGCTCCAGCTCATAAGTGACTAACAGGTGTTAGAGATTACCTACCTGCTATCTAGTGAAACCAGAGACAAGCAAATGAGCTGAGCTGAATCAGCAGGGAAAGAAAACCCTGTTTGGTTTTTACACCTGTGTCACTGCACCTGGTGGTGGTTCCAGATGGGGGAGCTGTTTATTCTCACTTCAGCGAGGAGCTAACAGTGCTTATTTTAGGATGTGCTTTTGTCCCATTGTGGTAGGTAGCAGTGCAACTGGAGTTTCCATGATTGAGTGTTAGCAACTGGGACTTTTTACTGGGAGCTTTAAACATTCAGAATTTGGTCTGTGAAGTTTTGACTTGTTCATCATTCTGGACACTCTGCTTTGGATTGGGTTACTTTTCTTCCGCTCTTTACTTCTTGTGGTGGACCATCTTTCTGTTTTTGTCTATTTTATTTCTTTGTTTTTTTCATCAGATCAGCCTCATATGAATCTATTAACATCTTTTCTTATAAGCAGATGTGCAAAAACTGGAATGGCTATTTCAGTTCAATGTGTTTAAGCTTGCTAATTGTGTCTCCAAAGCTTGGAAAAGAAGAAAAGATATGTTTGTTTCAGTAGGGTTTGTCTTGCTTTTTGTCTTCTCTTCTTGTTTTGTGACAATGAATAGACCTACTCTGATCCTGGAACATTTGACCTCATGGTGTCATGTAAGCACATGTGGGCTGGGCATATAAATGTATGACACAATAATAAAATAAAAACATCAAACTATAATTATTTCAAATTGGCTGTTAAGTTTTAATGAGTAACTTTGTTTAATCTTGAAAAAGAGGGCTAGGTGTTCTTTTTAATTATGTGGTGTCTTGGAAGTAAATGTGGACAAACAGGTTGTTTATGCGTCATAAGTAAATACTGTATGGCATCAGTACGATTATCAGTGTAACATGTAGCTCCAAAGAGAAGAATCCTCTGAGAAAAGATGAGTGAAAAGATTTCAATAAAGCTGCATTTCTTGAGGTTTATGACTTAAACATGTCCGCAGTAGAGTCACAGTGCCAGAACACAAAGAAATAATGGCTGGGGAGAAATTTGCACATAAGATCAGAGGGAATAATACCTGAAAAATTTAAAATGGAAACCAGCCTCACTTCTAATTCATTACAGCAGAACTTCCCCCCACTCCACGCAGAAAGTCTTGGATGAGTTGGTGCTGCAGGGCCAGAGAGAAGGAGCAGAGTGAATGAGGTGGTAAGGAGGGGAAGGAGGAGGGCTGGGTATTCTCCCAGCCTGCACCGCTTTCATCTTTCTCATTAAAGCCGCAGCAGTGGGGGCCGTCAAGAATGAGCCCAAGGACATGGGGATCGGGGACCGAGCCTGAGCCTCGCATCAGGAGGTGCAGGAGGAGGGAGGGAGGGGAACAGCCAGAGTGAGCAGACGGGCGGCCATGTCAAACCTTCACCTTAAACTTAACCCACCTCCCTCTGGGATGCAGATAAAGACCTCTTATCTGTGCTCACCTTCTCTCCAGGCCTGGGAACGACTCTAGCAGCAGGAAGTGCGGCGGGAGGAGGTGTATTTGGTTGAGTAGGTCCGGAATAATACACATGCCTTTTTTTTCTCAGACAGGGTTTATGAAAGAGGAGGGCAGCACTGATGAGCTTCCATCTGGGACAGACTGATTAAAAGAGGCGAGGAGAGGAAGTGGAGCAAGATAGAAGAGGTGATTCTGAGGGAAGAGGCTGATCCAGGATTGAAACACAGTCGGTCTCTGCCTGGAAAGCTTGAAGGTTTACTCAAAGTTTGGCTAATTTTTATGTTTTTCCTTATTCTCCTCTATTATTTTTTTTAACATTGCCTTTTTTCTAAGAATACTTGAAGTAGCAGAAGAGTTATCTAGGCAGAAACAACATGCTGCAGAGGTGGGGGATATCACTCATAGCCTCTCATGTTAAGCACAAAGTGTAAAAGGAAGGGATAAACATGTTGTGAAATACGCTGAGACACTCCTTACCTGAGGTTTAGGCGGGACATAGGAAGCTACAACTTGCAGCAACTTAAGTTGAGTTTTGTAGAAAAAGTGGAAAAAGAACAGCTACACTGCAAAAAATAAAATCTTACCAAGTGTATTTGTCTAATATCTAGTAGAAAATATCTTGTTACACGAAGCCATAGTCACCTGACAGGTCCAAATAATCATCTTATTTCAAGATATTTAAAAGCCAAAAAAAACAGCTGAAAGGCTTGTAATGAGGAAAAGAAGCTGCAAGCACGATTTACTTGACAAGTTTCTTAAAATAGGATCATAGTCATGTTTTTACAAGGAGATGACAAAGTCTTCCTCTTAAACCCTCTGAAGATTAACCTTGAACATGTTTTATCTCAAATGTTTAACAAAAGCCATACTACATCATTTTAAGACAATAGATGAGGCGTACATGTACATGTGTAGAACCATTTTTTACCACTAACTTTTGATGTGATTGACTACCAAACTCATAAAATATCAAGGCAGCAGGAAATCACCTCAGCCCCTAAAATACAGACTGCCACTCAAAATAAATGTGTGAAAGTTGTGTTTTACGGTTTTGTCTCATGTCCCCAAGTGCCAAAAAAAAAACCTCTTAATGCCTGCAAGGCTGTAAGAAGAAATGAAAGGTAGATGTTGAAGAGTAAAATTAAAATTAAAATGTTTTGAAGCTCGCTGGAAGTATAAAATAACACATTAAGTTGTTTATTGCCAACTAACTAATGTGGGAAACAAAGTGTTTGTTTGGGGTGTATTAGTAAAAGTGCTTTCTCCAGGTATGTCATCAGTTCACCTTCTTACAAGCTTTAAATTAAAGAGAAATGTGTTGCCAGTCAGTGACCTGTCATCCTGTAACACAAAGAAATGTTTGCATGGACAACAAATCTGGCTGAGTTTGGATGAGTCACAGTTCATTATTCACCATGAAACGGTTCAATATTTTAGAATCTGCGCGGCTATGCTATGTCAGTGTGTACTTCCCATTGATGAACAGAGTCCAGATTTGCTCAAATGATACAAAATTAAAGTTGAAGTTTGCCTGAATCCGAGACGGTGTGAACTTACTTGTGGCTTCACGAGTTACTGAAACACTCTGCCTTTGCTTTGTGTCGATTAACCGTGGCATGTGTCTTTCTGCAGATGAAAGTGGGAGACATGATTCAGACCGAAAACATCCAACAGCATGTACTGCCAATCAGGGGAGAGGAAATTAAATATACGCCTTTAATTGAAGTAAATGATTTGACAAAGTCAGGGTCATAAAGAAACGCAGGTCTGTGCTCTTGCAGCTATGAGATTCAGATCTTTCCCCCTCTTCATTAGTAAATTAAGTCCCACGACAGCGACTCCTGCACCTCTTGAAATATGAACTGAGTGCCAGATTAAATATGCATATTTAATAAGAGGGGGAACATGAATACATCCACTTGTTAAATGGGAGCATGAGACGAGAGGAAGTCAGAGACACAGAGTGAGAGCTCCATGGCCTGCAGAGTGTGAAAGAAAAAACAGAATTCATCTTTATTTTAACGCGTCTCTTTGGGAGT